CCCAGCAGGTCGAGGCTGCGGTGGCCTGGAGCAGCCACTGCACTCCAGTCTGGGTGACAGTGTGAGACTCCAACTCAAAAAAAAAAAATATGTCAACATAAAATGGCTTGTCTTAGACCAGACGCAGGAGGGGCACCCCTTTCCGGCAGCTTTCCATGAATTTCCCCCTATGCTGGAATGGCAAAAGTGGTTCATCTTTTCTGCCAGCTCCATTCTACTGAGCAGTTGGCTAGAGTGCTTTACTGAAAAGGGTTCTGAGGGCTGATCTGGGCTGTGCCGAATGTTACAGGCTGGCTGTGATCTGTTGATGTCTGGGAGGGTCCAGGGGAGAGTTTCTGGCATGTGGGTGTGTATTTGACCCTTGGAAGAGAAAAGGAGTCCTCTTCACATTGGGCACCTGGGCAAGACATTCCTCCATTCTAAGAAAACAAGAGGGTTGGATCACTGAATGACCAAATATTTATTGAGGACTATTAAGTGCCAGATGCTGCCTGATGCCAGAATTATAAGGTAAGCCAGCCATGGGCCATCTTGCAGCCCTAAAGCTCTCTCACTCCCGCCCCCGCTCTGTCACTGAGCTGTCAACTTGACCTCTATGAGGCTGTTTCCTCATCCACAGACAGAGCTGACAAGACCCATCTCATGGCAGGGTGTCACAGGCTCCTCGGCATCTGATCAGTGCCTGATGAGGATGAGCATTTCTCTGACAGCCTGGTAGACTGCAAGGAAGGCTGGCAGGGGCTCAGCGCAGCCTTCGCCTGCCAGACTTCAGGAAGTATCCCTCCATAAAAGCAAGAGGCCCATCAGAAGTGACAGCTGAGATCTCTGCACAGACTTCTCAGGGGGAGCGTGTCCAACTGCTCCTTCCATTACATCCTCCTTCTCAGACCTTCTGAGCACATGTTGAGCATTGTGGGAGCACCTGCCTCTGGCATCCTGCACAGGCGGGAGGTGTGGCGGGCAGGGGTGGGGAGACTTGTGCCATAGGGGCCAGGTCCCTGGAGGGTCTGCTGAGGGGCCAAAAGGAGAGTGGGAATGGGATTGGCTATAGCTCACTCAAAGAAACCCTGGGGATGTGAGTAATGGACTCAACATCTGAGTACCAGGAGATGAAAACTGTGCCGTGGACCAGGGCAGTTATAGGGGGAGCAGGTGGGTGGTCTGGGTCAGGTGCCCATACCACTTGCTGTGTGGGTTCAGACCAGCCATCTCCTGTCATTCATTCACCAAATCGTGTTGAACACCTCTGAGGGGCTGCCAGTACCTATCCTGCGGAGCTGTCAGGAGGGGTAATGTTTAGAACACATCTGGAGCTCTAAGCACAGTGTAGTGCTAGGCCCTGAGATGTGCTCACAGACAGGATAGACGGCGCCTCTCTTGTGCAGGCATACTGAGGCCTGGCCTTAAAATCACCAAGGAATAGGAGAGATGCTTTTGGTGGTTGTGACCTTCCTGTCCTCAGAGGTGTTGGGCTGTAGAGAGCTGGCCCTATGTACTGAGTTAATCTGGACTCCCAGAACCATGACACAAGAGTTTCTCCTCGAGTCCTTTGCCTCCACCTAAAACCAGTTCGGTGGTGAACTAAACTGTCTTTAAGGACTCTCACCTCATACTGTCAATCTCACTGTCCTTGATTTTTTTTTTTCTTCCCTAACATAGATCCTCTGCCTGGAAATGCTTGTCATTTGGGTCAGCCATTTGTGGGTATGAGATGGATAAACAATCAAGCTGGTCATTTTAAATGAACACCAGGAATAATTGTATTGCTTACTAAGCAACAATAACAAGCCCCAGACTGAAAAACAGCTTAGTTCTGGTGGAAGTGCTAGCCTAGCGTGGATCAGGCCCTGGATTGAGTCCTGGCTTGGCCACTTACTAGCTGGGTGACTTTGGACAAGCCACGGCCACACCTGGGCCTCAGTGTCCTCACAGGTAAAGAGGTGTTCTCCCTACTTTGGGATGGACCACAGGAATCTAAGACTGGTGTGGGAGGTAAAGTGTTAGGCACTCTGTCTGGGTGCCGTGTGGCTGAGGAACAGAGGCCTGAGGTCTACCCCTTCCCGTGTCATCTGGCCTCCTGAGAAGGACCTTTGTGGGAAACAAATGGAGGAAGAGTTAGAAGTAGCCAGCATCTTCCAGAAGAAGCGGTGCCACCACTGGCGGGGTTGTCAGAGCTGCATCAGCAGAGGCTAGGCCTGAGGGCAGAGGCTAGGAACAGGAAAATGGAAAGTGAGGCCTAAGTGTGCTGCTGCAGCAGAGCCTGGCAGGGTGGCTGGTCTTGCCCAACTTGGGAGGTATTTGGTTCGGGGCCAGCCCCCCTTGGGGGAAGTGAGGGTACCTTGGGAGTGGACTGAGTATGAGGGAGAAGTCAGTGCAGAGAGCTGAGAAGGACCCGGGAGGGTGGGCCCATTGAGGCACAGGGGACTGTGGCAACATAGGTCGGGGACACTGTGTGGCAGATGTCCCACCACCCGTATGAACTTTCTTAGCTATCAGCTACCCACAGGCCCTCATTCCTCCTCACCCGTGGGATGCATGAGGTCCACAGCCCAGTGCTGTCTTTAGTCAGGATGCATGGGGTCTTGCTGTCCTGTCTCCGACCTCATTCTTGCCATGGTCTACCATGCCTTCTGCAGCCCACCCTTCTTCAAGATCCAGCTCCAAGGCCACTCTTCCACAAACCCCCTGGATCTTTCTGTGGAGACTGAGGCCACATCTCCCTTCACCACTCTGTACTATGTGCATGTCTTTTCTTCCCAGTCAAGCTGAGCTCATGTAGGACATGAGTTCCAGAATCTAATTCATTATAGTCTCAGCTCCCAGGATAGCGCTTGGTATATAGTAGATACTCAGTAAATGGTTGTTAAATTTTGTTTTTGTTTTTGTTTTTTTGAGTTGGAGTTTCACTCTGTCGCCCAGGATGGAGTGCAGTGACACGCTCACAGCCACCCCATTGTCAACCTGCTGAGCTCCAGCGATCCTTCCGCCTCAGCCTTCCAAGTAGCCGGGACTACAGGCACACGCTGCCACCCCCGGCTAGTTTTTTAAATTTATTGTAGAGACAAGGTCTCACCAAGTTGCCCAGGCTGGTCTCAAACCTGCGGGCTCAAGCAGTCCACTCGCCTTGGCCTCCCAAAGTGCTGGGATTACAGGCTGAGTCACTGAGCCCAGCCAAATTTTGTATTTCATACACAGCATAAAATACTGTTACGGTACCTTGGTCTCAAGTGACTGTCAGTGACCCCACAAGGAATAGATCACCATCTTATACGTGAGGCTCAAGAGAGGTTAAGGAAGACTTGGCCAAGGCCACAGGAGGAAACAGGAGCACGGAGGAAGGGATCAGGGAAGACTACATTGGCACAGGCCAAGTACAGGAGAGAGGGAGAGAGGGTACTCCCAGGCAGAGGCTGGTGATTTTGAGGCCCCACTGAAAGCTTGGCACGGCTCCAAAGGAGAGTCCATTCAACAGCAGTCAGATGGCGCAGGGTCTTGTGGACCAAGCTGAGGCACTGACGTTAGTCGTGAGAGTGGTGAGGAGCCCTTAGACAGCCGCCACGATCAGGAAGAGCCGGTCCGTGCTAGCTGGGTGGGTGCTGGCCCGGGGACAGGAGGCCCCTCCCAAGCCTCTGCCTCCGTCTTCCTGGCCCATGCCCTTCCCCCACCTTGGCCTGTCTGTTTCAGAGTGGCCTCCCCTGCTGGTGCCGGCACCCTCCGTGCCCTGAGCCGCTACAGCCGCTATACAAGCATCCTGGACCTGGACAACAAAACCCTGCGCTGCCCCCTCTACAGAGGCACCCTTGTGCCCCGCCTGGCAGACCACCGCACTCAGATCAAGAGAGGCAGCACCTACTACCTGCATGTCCAGAGCATGCTCACCCAGCTCTGCTCTAAGGCCTTCCTCTACACCTTCTGCCACCACCTGCACCTGCCCACCCATGACAAGGAGACGGAGGAGCTGGTGGCTAGCCGCCAGGCGAGCTTCCTGAAGCTGACCCTGGGTCTGGTGAATGAGGATGTCAGGGTGGTCCAGTACCTGGCTGAGCTGCTGAAGCTGCACTATATTCAGGAGTCTCCCGGGACCGGCCACCCCATGCTCAGGTTTGACTATGTCCCCAGCTTTTTGTACAAAATCTGAGGTCGGTCTCAGCCACTGTGACCAAGACCTGTGACTCAGGGTATGGGGAGGGAAGGGGTTGGCATGACCAAACAGTTGCCTGAGCTGGACTGTTTAGGTTTCTGGTGTCTGGCAGCATGGTTCTGACGTGGCTCTGGGAAATTTGTGAGTTGGACAAGGGCAGAGGTGGGAGCTTTTCCCCTCTGAAGGCATCTGGAGGGACAGTGACAGCCGCTCTCAGCTCCTCGGTGAAAAGTGGACCCTGAATGGAGAAGTGTCTTTCAGTGGACTGGCAGCCAGGGCAGAAGGGAAGCCATCAGTCCCTTGTTGGGATGGGGTTGAGCTGGGTGAGGGATTGGAAGGCCAAAGCCCAGATGGGAGGAGCACACAGACACATTGAGTATTGCTGGACACTTGCATGGCAAACAAGGAAGGCAGCCAATTAACTGTGATGGTCTGGTGGAAAACAGGACAGAACACCCGTTGCCCCATCAGAGCCCAGCTGCAGCCCTTCATCTAGCTTCCTAGAGCCCATCGTCCCAGGGGAAGTCCCTGAACCAGCGAATGGAGGGAAGAAAGCCCTGGCCCTAATGGGTAGTGGGAAACACACAGCCTTGTGAGACCAGGACCACAGAGCACGAACAGCACCCTGTCCCCTTGTCCTTGCCTCCTTACCTGGGAGAGAAAGCCTGTGAGTGGGCCCTGTGGCTCACTCCCCATGGTCGGCGAGAATGAGCAGAGTGGCCACTAGTGCCGTATGCAGGGGCACAGATGACCAAGGCCAATGGTGAGGACTGCTCTGGGGGCTGGAGAGCACAGCAAACTGCAGGGCCGTGGTACCATGAGGCCATCACCACTGCACAAGGGAGGAGAAGCCACAGCTCTCCTGGGTTGCCCACAAGCTCTTAATGGCCAAAACATGTGAGCATTGATCGTCCTTGTGGGGAAGGTCCACATACCTGCTGAACACGGCAGAGGCCACTCTCCAGCCCCACCCACGCTAACATTTGCAACCGCTTCACTACCTCTCTAGGGGTCTCATGGGCACAGCAACAGCACAGTTGTGTTCAGCCAGCTGTTCGAGGTGGTCGGCCGGCTGGTGAGAGCTCATGTGGCGGATTTCCTGTAAGAGCTCCCACATGGTGCTCTCCAGGGTCTGCTTCTGAGAGGCTATACATACCTTGGTTACCACAGCTCACAGCTGTCCCCAAGTGAGTCCCCACTTCAAGGAAGAAGTTTGAGACTGGAAAGGGAGATGCCCTCTGGCTCCCCCACCACCTGTCCCGCTGACAATGACCCTCCCTCCAGCCTCCCTGAGGCTTCTTACAGTTGCCACTGGTATATAGACAGGGTTTCTTGCAGGTTTGACAACTGTATTCCTTTCATTTTAAAGCTGTTTTTTTCCCTCTACATGGGGACAACTCTCTCTGGTTATTACTGCTTCTTTACTCTGTCCCATGAAAATTGTGCTGAAATGGACCTGAATCAGAGGGCTGGTCTGCCCATCAGCCTGTGGCTCACCATCAGGGTCACTCACGGAGGCAGCCAGCTTCTCTTCTGGAAGCTGAGTGACCAAAGAGGGCTTGCGTCACGTCACTCCTGTGGTCCCTTTCTTGTCCTCAGCACAAGGGCATGGCCCATGGGTTCTGGCCACCAGCTTTCGGTCAGGGCTCTGCTCCCATCAGAATGTATGATTTTGCTTCTGAGGCTGTGACCAAGAACCTTTTGTGGCAGATGGCACTGCCTACGTCTCGTCAGTTTTCTCTGTCCCTATGCCCATTGCACATGCTCAGAGACGGGAAGTCACCAGGAACACCTTGCAGCTTTTCCATGTGAAACGGCTGGTGTCTGCGTGGGAGGCAGGCCGCACAGAAAACTTGATTCTCTTTGTGGGCTTCCTCATCTGTTACCAACCCTGCCCCTCATGTTCTAGATTCTGCTTTGTTTTCTCATTGGCTGGCTAATTGCTGTCTACTTATGCGTCCAACGACATGACCACACGACATTTTATCTCGAAGGGAAGGAAGGCCAGAAAGTGATCGTTGGTACCAGCTGTTGCATTCCCATGTGTCGCACCAACAAGGAAACTCACAGTCAACACTGTTCTCAACCTGGAAAACTTGAGAAAGGCAGATGAGTTTTGGGCAGATGCCGAATTGCAGCAATACCTGGCCTTCTAGAAACTAAAATTGTGCTCTCCAGTGGTCCTAAGTAGAAGTCCACTTGGGGGTGTTTGCTTGGCACTCGGCCTCAAAATCAATTCAGAAGGTCCCAAGGCCTTAGGCAAGAGACCAGTGGGGAGTGGACAGACTGGACTGTTCCATGGCGCAGCCACAGAAATGTAAAGCAGGCGGATCTCCCTCAAGGTCGTTCTTCATTTCATAAAGGATGGCTTTACTAGTAAGTGTTGGAACTCCAGGATTTAGATTATGGTTAAAAACTAACTTTTCATTGTGGCAATTTCAAAGGATGACTTGAAGCAGTGTTTCCTTTCAAAGGGATTTCCAGGTGGTACTAGGATTGAGTACTTGGGCAGCCCTACCCCCCCCACTCTGGGAACTGGAACCTACTAGAAGTCTTACAGCTATAAACCTCAATGGGGAGATCTATGCAATAAGACTAATCTCTTCAAGAATTTTGATTTGAGGTGTTCTTCCAGTAAAAGGTTAATACGTTTTAATAAAACCTTAAAAAATAGCACTTTCCAGAAAATAGGTGACAGCAGCACCCCTTGTTAGTTCTTCAGTCCTACCCATCACTTGGAGGGCCTATATACTGAAACACTGGTTGCCTGAGGTTTGTGTCAACTTTACCTCCAGTCCATTATCCCCTTCCTGCTTTTCTGAAGCAGTCCAGGTTAAGGAGAATCTGGTCAGGCTAGCAGTCATGCACTGGTAATTTTCAGAAGCTCCACTTGAGCAATCAGGCCGTAGCTTTTTATAGCATGTGGGGCATTCCAGCCTGAGCCGCCACCTCACACCTCACTGCTTCCGTGGGAACCTCGCTCCTTTGGTAGAACCTAGGGATTTTAGATATTGTGACTTTTCCACACATAATGTATTCCAGTGGCTGCCGTGACACACATTGCTGCAGAATTTGGAAATGGACTGCAATAGCTTGCTCTGCCATTCCCCATCTAGCCTTTAACTTCTTTGCTTCAGATCAGTTGCTATATTCAAAATGTAGCAGACTTCACCCCATACCACAAATAACAAGTCCCGTTTGAGAATCCTAGGAAGGCCACCCAATTCTACCCAAGTGCCAGGACTGCTGCAGTGGAGCCACATGGTTTTGGAGGCTGAGATCAGCCCCCACCTCACTGAATGCCTGGCGTGTGCTGACTGTCATTCCACAGTACTGGGAGGTATGTCCCCAGCCCAAGCCAAGTGCTGCATGTTAGGTCAGCGTCTCATGCTGCTGTCATGTCTTTGTCTGCGCAGCTGCTAGCACTGTCTCAGTTTGAAGGGTTCATCAGTAGATATGCCAGGACTTTGGAGAAACTGAGTCTCCATGGCGATAGTCAGGTTTCTCCCTGTCTCTTGACCTAAAAAGCTCAGAAGAAAGTGCCTTGGTTTGTGCTCTGAAGCAAACCAGCCAGCTTTCTGGCTTTGCCCTAATACTGTGACAAAGTGATAAAACTGGAGGCTTGAAGAGAAACAGTATTGACACTGCAAGGAAAAAGCAAGTTTTTACTTCTGGCTGAGAAACAAAACCAGTCTCAGCTGATAAGGTTGGGCACACTGAGTTTTCCTGAGCCCCTTCAAACACTGACCTTATCTGGACTGGTTAGAGTTTGGTTAAAGCTGTGGGAAGGAGGAGGCAGGAGCAGGTGGGGCATAGGGAGCGGGGGATGAGCATTCTGCAGCTAGTCAGCCTGCTGGGGTGGGGCCCGGCTTCCTAGGAGTTACTGCTTAGCCCGAGGTGGGGGCTACATAGAGGGCTTGGAGATGGCAGCTTGCTTCCAGCTGGGGAGGAGCCAGGCCCCTGAACTGAAGACCACTTTGGCAGCACAACAGTTCCCAGTTTGGAGACAGAGAAGCAGGGACTAGTGTGTCACCTACACTCCACGGATTCTGCAGCAGCTTCCCCCCCACAATGGAGCAGACACCAACAGGCTGGACCCCAGGCTGCAGGAGCCACCACCTACAAGGCAGGACCCCAGGGTGCCTCACCCAGACCATCTGACACTGGATAGTTGTGTCACAGGTTGGATTGAGATAAATGCCACCTTTGAGGTTGCAGTGAAAGGCATAGCCTGTGATGAACTCGTATTTGCTATTTTTTAAAAAGCTATTTTATTACTGCATGTTCCCGTCCCTGTCTGTGAATGTGAGTCCCTGCCACCACGTAAGCTGCAGTTGTCGCAGTGGCTGGTGCAGGAGTGCGACCGACACGTGTGATAGCATCTCATAGGTGTTGCTGCACAAGCGTTAACCAGAGTCAATGCCAAACAAATAGTATGAGAAGTGTACTTTTTAAGAAATTAATTTATTTGAGTTCAGATATTTTTGAAATATAGAAATTCATTGTATTTTTTAAAGCTATGATTCTTGTAGACATTCTGTGGTTAAAAATTGATTGTGCTTAATTAAAGTGGTCACCTATGTTTTTGCACTTCAGCTATGTGAAAAATAAAGTTTCTTTGGGAAGGTCACTTTGGTTTCCTTAATTACAGCAGGGAGTTGGCTCTCTCAGGCAGATCAGGACAGCCCCTGGTTGACTGTCACACCAGGAAGGGTCTGGGCACTTCCCAGAATGGAGGGTGGAAGATACAACATGCTTTGAGTTGCTGACAGCAAAACCTTCCCACTATATTGGGTGCACCTTGTATAGATGTCTAACTTGCACTTCTGATTCATAATACATAGCAGAAGCTTCAGAAGATCCCTCTTCAGTTGTAATGGTCCTAATTCAGTTCTGCTGTGGCATCCCACTGGGTAAGTAGGTAGAAGGAGCACCCCCTACAAGCTGTGGGCTCAGGCGTTTCTTTTCTGTTGCAGCAAGGCCCAATAACTAAGAGAAGGGAGCAAAATACTGAAGCCTTTCTAATAGTTTTGCCCTACACCTAAATGATTAAGGCTAAATGGCTACACAGTATTTGGCTTTTTTATAATAATTCTATATAGCTGTGAGAAAGTGAGGTTCAAATTTAATTTCTTTAATAATCTTCAGAATTACTAACAGTGGGACTTAGATTTTGATCTGTGAAGAAAACATGAAAAAAAGTCCACCAGAAACCCTCAAAAAGCACAAAAGCTAAGCAGGTACCCTGTGGGGCAGCTCTTGCATCTCAAGAGGGCTCTGGTCCTCCAGCAGTGTCCTTGCAGAGCAGGGCAGGAGCCAGCCCCCGTTACACATCAGGTAGGCCAGGCAGAGGAAAGAGGGAAGCGAAGCTCTCGACCTCCTCCCGGAGAACCTGTATGGCCCGCTGGTACTTATCCCCTCCCAGTCTCTCCTTGAATTCCTTCAGGGTGGCCCTGACACCGACGTCATTCTGGATCTGCAGAGTCAGCTCTATCCCTGTATGGGCAAAACACAAGTGAGACTCCCTGGGCTCACCCCATGCTACACATCAGAGTAGGGCATGATGGCTGGGAGCCGAGGCAAAATGTCCCCACAGATGGGGAGTGTGTGACACAGTACTAGGTCTCAACGCTCACCTCAGAAATGATTCAGATGCACCTTCCATAGGTAGATGTTCCTGGGCAGCACAAATGTATACCTCTCAGACAAGGTGATTTGCTTAGGTGGCTTTTGCTGTCTCCCACCCTAGCACTCCTGTTCTAGTCCTTGATGCAGATATGTCCTTCAGTGGCAGGGTCTCAACTACTCATCACAGAGACTTTGGCAAACTACCAAACATTTTTTTTAAGAGACAGTCTCATTCTGTCACCCAGGCTGGAGTGTAGTGGTGCCATCATTGCTCACTGCAACTTTTGAGTTGGTGTCTCACTGTGTCCCCCAGGCTGGAGTGCACAATCACAACTCACCATAGCCTCGACCTCCTGGGCTCAGGCGATCCTTCCACCTCATCCTCCCAAGTAGCTGGGACTATAGGTGCACACTACCACACCTGGCTAATTTTTTGGTGTTTCTATAGAGACAAGGCTATTCACTGCAACTTCAAACTCGTGAGCTCAGGTGATCCTCCTGCCTCAACCTCCCCAGTAGCTGGACCTACAGGCAAACACCACCACACCTAGCTACAAAATTCTAAAATTTTATCCTTACCTCTGTGAATAAAATGGGCTACTTTTTGGAAGTCTTTTTCCAAAAGTCCTCGGGACGTCAGTGCTGGGGTCCCTAGTCGCAGTCCACTGGGCCGCAGGGCGCTTCTGTCACCTTCAAGATAAATAAGTCTCTGTCCCTAAGCCACTCAACACTGGGACTATGGTGCATTGAAAGTGACAAGTCAGCAAAAACAGGCCTGAAGATACTGACTCAGCCTAGCAAGAAGAGTACAACTGATTCAGAAGTGAGAGGTAGAACTCAAGGCACAGAGACAGAGAATCTTATTTTTGCCATTTTATTTTAATAGTAATTAGAGTGGCCTTCTGTAATGTGCCCCTTGCTTTTTTTTCCTCTCTCTCTTTTTTTTGAGTTGAAATCTCACTGTCGCCCAGGCTGAGTGCAGTGGTACCGCATCCTCAGCCTGCTGGGCTCAGACAATCCTTGCATCTCAGCCTTCCAGGTTCCAGCCTGGAACCAGCAGGCCCAGCTGATTTGTTGATACACTGTAGAGACGAGGTCTCCCCATGTTGCTCAGGCTGGTCTCCAATCCCAATCCTCTCACCTCTCAAAGTGCTGCAATTATAGGTGTAAGCCACCACGCCCAGCTTTTTTTTTTTGAGGTAAGGTCTTGCTTATTCACCCAGGCTGGAGTGCAGTGGCACAATCATGGCTCACCACAGCCTCCAACCCATGGGTTCAGTCAATCCTTCCATCTTAGCCTCCCAAGTAGCTGGGGCTACAGGTGCACACAACTACATCCAGCTTATTTTTTTATTTTTTGTAGAAACAAGGTCTTGCTATGTCCCTTGCTTCTAAAAATGCATTAGATGCAGCACCAACATTTTACTAACAACCCACTGAGAAATGTAGCTGGTTTTAAGAGGCCATAGCCTTTCTCATCCAGTGATATTCCACCTCCAAGGGCTCCACATCAATCTTTCTGCTCTACAGCATAGTCAGAGCCAAGTCCAAAGGCACAGCCAGAAGAAAGCCAAGGTTAGTCCTCTCCAATCATCTCAATCATTTGCGGTCTGTCTCCAGAGTCAAATATCTTTTTTTTTTTTTTGAGTTGGAGTCTCATGCTGTCGCCCAGGCTGGAATGCAGTGGCAAGATTATGGCTCACTACACCATCGACCTCCTAGGCTCAAGCATTCCTTCCACCTCAGCGTTACAAGTAGCTGGGACCACAGGTGCATGCTACCACACCCAGCTAATTTTATTATTGTTTAATTTATTTTTATTATTATGTTGCCCAAGCTGGTCTCCAACTCTTGGACTCAAGCTATCCTCTTGTCTTGGCCTCCCAAAGTGCTAGGATTATAGGTATCAGTCACTGTGCCCAGCCTAGAGCCAAATACCTTTATCAGCTACAACTCTGGCCAGAAGAAACAGAGGAGGTATGGAAGAGAAGACCAACAACTCTCACCTGGGCAGGTATTCTTGTTGCAGGCAATAGAACAGGCTTCTAGCACCTTTTCAGCCCTTCCACCATCTGTGCCTTTGGAACGGAGATCCACAAGGATCAAATGGTTGTCAGAACCACCTGAAAACAACGTAGGACACATAAAAATGCAGCAGGCTGATTCTATACCGAGTGAAGGAATCTCCGAGAAATGAGGGTGCCGGGTAAAGGAGACTGAAGCAGATGGAGTCAGGAAGGTGGGCATACCCACCACAAAGCCTCGAATTCTAATCATTCATTAGAGAGAAGCCCAGGCCTAAGAATCTGAAAGATAGGACAGCATTTTTACTTTTTTTTTAAGTTTTTATTTTATTTTGATTTATTGTAGAGACGAGGTCTCGCCATGTTTCCTGGGCTGGTCTTGAACCCGTGGGCTCGAGCCTCGGCCTCCCAAAGTGCTGGGATTACAGGCTTGAGCCACCATGCCCAGCCAGACAGAGCATTTTTATTTTATTTAGTTATTTATTTTAATTTTTTTATTTTTTGAGTTGGAGCCTCAACCTGCTGGGCTCCGGCGACCCTTCTGCCTCAGCCTTCCAAGTAGCTACAACTACAGGTGTGTGCTACCATGCCCGGCTCATTTTGATTTATTATAAAGATGAGGTCTCGCCAAGTTGCCCAGGCGGGTCTCGAACCCACGGGCTCAGGCAATCCACTCACCTCAGCCTCCCAAAGGCGGGGGATTACAGGGGGATTACAGGCTGAGCCACCAAGTCCGGCTGACAGAGCATTTTTAAAAGGGACGACTGCTAGTTGCATGGCTCATGTCTCTAATCCCAACACTTTGGGAGGCCGAGGTAAGAGAATTGCTTGAACCCAGGAGTTCAAGACCAGCCTGGGCAACATAGCAAGACCTCATCTCTACAAAAATTAAAAAAAAAAAAACTAGACGTGGTGATGCACACCTGTATACCTGTAGCTCCAGCTACTAGAGAGGCTGAGGCAGAAGGATCACCGGAGCTCAGGAGGTCAAGCCGTGATCATGCCACTGCACTCCATCCTGGGCGACAGAGTAAGACTCTGACTCAAATAGATAAATCTGATCATACAGGAGGGATGTGAGGCTGACAGGTACAACATCCAGCACTTTTATAGCCCAGACTACCCCTCCCATGACACAGCACACCAGGTGACAGCACAGAGGCTCCTCTAGGGAAGGGACAGTTTGCTCAGGCTACCCCTGGCTTCTGTTTTCTCTAACAAGTTACTTGGAAATTTCCCAAGTGTCTCTGACATTGATCTCAAAGGCTCCCTCTCAGGCAGCATCAGAGTAGTAAGCAGTGGTTCAATTTATCGGTGGGGTGACAACTACATTCACTGAGCACATCAGGTGCCAGACACACTGCTAGCCTGTCGTAGATTTCACTGAACCCTGTGAGGCTGACAGTGTTATCAAAATGGAAAGATGAGGAAAGCAGGGCTAATAGCTTTCTGGATCTCGCCCAAGGTCACATAGGAATCTTCAGAGTCCTGGATCTTTCCAATTTGAGCCTTCATTAAGCCAAGGTGTCGCCTTAGGCAATGACAGTGTTCTCAGCTCTGCCTCTGGGCCAGGTTGCAGGGATGACTGCAAAGGTGCAGGTGATGTAAGGTACCAGCTGAGCTCTGGAGCCCCACAGCTGAATCCACTTACTCCCGTGTGACAGGAACATTCTGGCAGGCAGCTTAGCATTTTGGAAAACAAACAAACAAAAAACCCCAATAATTCACAGGGCTGACATGAGGTTTAAATAAGATATTGGATAGAGGGCTTGTCACGGCACCAGGCAAAAAGTGGGTACTGACAACCATTATTTGCTTCACCCATCTGCATTGTGTCCTTAGCAAAGTGAACAGTGACAAAGTCACCAGGGTTGGGGTACGGAAAGACGGAGGAGACATGTTCTTCCGAGATGCACAACTATGAGATGCCTGTGGTGGGCTGTTGAGAGGGGCCAGCCCCTGCAAGTTTTGGGGAGTCCCTTGGAAGATGTGGTGGCGTCGGTGAATCTGTAGGGATAGATATTAAAAGAAAGATAGATGGAAGGATAGATATAAAAGAGGAAGAAAGAGAAAGAAAGAAAGTGGACAACTGTTCAGTGAAATGAGCAGAAGCCGTTTATTGAAAGTTACAGCAGGTATTTATCCCCAAATTTTAGACAGGCAGTCTCACAAGTCTTTCACGTGAACACAAAGCCAGGTGCGGGGGGGCATCCCCTACCCACCAGATGCTTAGGTGTGAGGAGGAACAAACCCCAAGATTGTCTCATTGTTCCCTTTGCTAGTTAATGTTCTTCAAAAGCAGTGTAACAATCCTTACTAGTCTAATGATGTTCTGATAATCAATAACTTCTAAAGCTCACTCAATACCCATGATGACTAAATTAAACTCTACCACTTATACAATGCTACGGAAGCTCTTAATTATAGCTTAAGCCAATTTCCTAAAGAATGTGGCCCAGTCCAAAGATCACACTGGGCCCTACAGGATGTGGCCC